TGGTAGCAGCTATTTATCGGGGGATATAGATCCTAGAAGAGAGAATAAACATACCAAAATGCCTTTCTCTGCTGAATCTATGGTAGCAGCTATTTATCGGGGGATATAGATCCTAGAAGTGAGAATAAACATACCAAAATGTCTTTCTCTGCTGAATCTAAGGTAGAAGTTATTTATCGGAGGATATAGATCCTTGAAGAGAGAATAAACATACCAAAATGCCTTTCTCTGCTGAATCTAAGGTAGAAGTTATTTATCGGGGGATATAGATCCTAGAAGAGAGAATGCACATACCAAAATGTCTTTCTCTGCTGATTCTATGGAAGCAGCTATTTATCGGGGGATATAGATCCTAGAAGAGATAATAAACATACCAAAATGCCTTTCTCTGCTGAATCTATGGTAGAAGTTATTTATCGGAGGATATAGATCCTAAAAGAGAGAATAAACATACCAGAATGCCTTTCTATGCTGAATCTAAGGTAACAGCTATGTATTGGAGTATATACATCCTAGAAAAAAGAATAAATATACCAAAATGTCTTTCTCTGGTGAATCTATGGTAGCAGCTATTTATCGGGGGATATAGATCCTAGAAGAGAGAATAAATGAGGACAAATCGATCTCCAATCCAATCCAGATCCAATGGCCCTTAAAGACCATGGTATTGTAGACGGCCCTAATTATAAGGCCATTGTTTCGCCAGTCACAGGATTTATCGAGTGACGGCCCAATATTTGCTGCCTTCAAATCCCCCCCGATGTAATAATAGCTTATATCCAAAATCAATCGGCAGACAATACACAATAGCGACTGGTCAAATTACTATTCTTTGATATATATTTCGTATATATTCACATAATTTATTGATTGATTCATATCTTAATGAACTAATAAATAATTCAAATATTACTAATATTGACAATTTTAAGGCAGCTTCGACCTATTTATATAAAACCTTAGTGACTCAATTATTCAAATTGTTTTGTATGTTGATCATAAAGCGAGAGAAATGATTTGTTCTTCTACTGAATAAATTATTTATGTATTTGAGCGTATATATATAATTTATATCATTATTTGAATGCACACATTTTCCTACACTGTATTTAAGGTGATTATAAAAGCGAAAATTTAAGGTAAGATATAGATTTACAAGGTTCTTACGTTAAATTTGAGGCTGAAGAAAGGTTAGTTCGAATTTAAAATAAAATTAAGAGCGGAATCGAATCATTGCTCCAATCTAAATCCTTCAAATTTATAGGTAATACCATCTATAATGATATCTATTTCTAATTGTCTCTAATCTAATGCCTCAAGATACTTGTAGTATAGCAGGTAATGGTGATTAAATATTATAAATATTATTTCTTAAGAATGAATCGTTCAGCATTGTCGAATCTTAATAAAACCAATTAACATATTTTAATATACACATAATCATTTTTTGGCGTTCTGCAATCTAGAAATGTTCATGTAAACGCGGTCAGGATACGCCTTTTTTGTCTTTAAAATCATTTTCTAAATGTGTTTTCTATTTATAAATATATTTTACATTGCTATGTATGTATCTCATTTAAGAATGAACAATACATTTGAGCCTTATAGGTAGCTGTTTGTATCATCAATGAAAAACAAAATAATTACATGTGACAAGTGTTAAGAAGAAAAGGAGAAAGTGAAGAAGGGGTTAGGTTCAACGGTAAAAAAAATAGATAGGAATAAAGGAAATTGTATTGTGATGGACAATTTAGGAAGCTAGAAAGAAAGAAATAGAAGAAGGCATGATGGAGAAGTATGGTTCACTGGAGACCAAGAGCTGCTCAAGAATAGAATAAACTGAGGGAAGTGATAAAATACAATAAATACCTTCTTGGAGGGACATTTACAGATTCGAGGAAATATCTGGAGAGTGCTCAGATTTCTGTTTAACCCAACTTGGATGGGAGTGTACTTCAGGAATTGATTTAACCATGGAGAAAGGCACCACCACCACAAGTGCAGGAACTCAAAGGAATATAATTAATATAGCCATATAGGGTGTTGATCAATCCTTTTCCTCAGCAGAAATATGGCCGTTTATTTAGAGGACTGTATAAACTCCAAACTACCCAAGATGACACCCCACTGGTGAATCCAACCTTTAGCCAAATAGAGAAAGAAGCACGACCAATACTATTCACACACTTTTATTTTCAACCACACTATATTTACACTAGGATACATACACGTGACCAGTCACTCCTGGTCAAATACAAACATTTACAGAGTAATATTAAAATAATAAAAATAAACTCTAACATTCCTCCCCGAGTTGATGGGTCACATCAAGTTCCGGAGGGGCCACCGGAAGCAGCACCAGCCTCACCAAGGGTCTTCGGAGCACTCCAAGTCTATGCTGGATTCTTTTCTCTTGATGCAAGGAGGCCCTGAAGGTTGAGAATCCTCAATTGCAGACCTTTCGTCAGAATCCTCCACTGCAATTTCTGGAACCTCTTGAGAACCTTGAGCTTTACCTCCTGAAGAATCAGGATCCGATGCTGAGGCATCGTCTGCAGGCCCAGAGGTATCGTCTGAAGGCTTAAGTGTATCGTCTGAAGGCTCAGAGGTATCGTCTGAAGGCCCAGAGTTATCGTCTGAAGGCCCAGAGGTATCGTCTGAAGGCCCAGAGGTATCGTCTTAAGGCTTAGAGCAGTCATAGGATTCTGAAATCTTCTTTAGAGATCTCAAACCACTTAATATAATATTCCTATAATCTACCGGATTCGCAATCCTTTCCAGTTTAGTACTTTTTCCAGACTTTTCTGGAGACTTGTCTCCTAAATTAAGATCTTTCGCTGGAGTAGGCACTTGCCCCTTTGGAGAACTGGCGAGTATATAATATTGGAGTTATTACAGTTCCAGACACAGGTTCCTTCGATACAAGTTGCATTTTATTGTTTGGAAGATATTTGCCAATTGAACTTTTTTCTATTGGTTCTCTCTTCACATAGGTGATCTGGACAGTACAACCTTGTTTAGAAAGCGTTTTACTTTCTCCAACCTTTGCATCATCATATTCAACTATTTCCTTTTCTTCCGGATTTTGAGGTACGGGCCACTTAATTAAAATCGTCTACAACCATTTACCGCCCAAAAACCATCAGTTATCCATTTTTTTCTTCCAAAGAAATCTGAGGTAGTCCCGATCATTCTCCTTAATGGCGATCATCCGGAAATATCTTCTCATGTCCACCAAAACTCCGAACTTATTCTCCCGAAATTTTATCCCCACTTCAGGGATTCTTTTCAGCAGACTGGGTCTCCTCCCTAAATACCGTCTCAAGGAGAGTCCGCCTTGTCCTGCATCTAGCCCTTCTGCCATCTTTGAATCAGTACCTTGTTCTGCATATAGCAGCTTCACTTCTTCAGTGTTCTTTGAATCCATTCCTTGTTCCACATCCAGCCCTTTCTCTTCATCTGATTCAACGGATCCCTTCTCAACTTCAGCCCTATGACTTTCGTCAACTTCTACAACATACCTTTTCTCAACTTGAGCCCTTTTACTCTCTTCAGCAAAACACCTTTTCTCAACTTGAGCCCTTTTGCTTTCTTCAGCAAAATGCCTTTTCTCAACTTGAGCCTTTTCACTTTCTTCAACGGCAATCTGCGTGGATGTCTCTTCTACCATTTGCTCGGATGATACCACAATCCCAGCATCTTCCTTAATAGAAGCTGGATCAACTCCTTTCATCAAGGTAACTCCTACAACCCTTGGCTTCTCACTCATCCTGAATTCTAAACTGCTTCCATCGCAGATCTTCAAATCCAATTTGGGTAATCGGCAAACACTTGTTCCATTTAGATTTCCCCTAGGATTGAGATATTCGGTTACTTTCTTCTCTGTTAGCAGAAAGCTCCTCTCATACTGCTTGACCAAATCCTGATCTTTCTCCAATTCCTGCATAGTGGAGTTCTCATCGTCCAGCATTAACTCCCTAATTTGGGAATTCGCATTCCTTAGCTGGCTTTCATTAATCTCCAGCAATTTAAAAACGACCAAGATAGAGTCCCGAGAAGGATATTCTTTATCAAATTCAGTCTCAATTTCTTTTATATTTTTCGTCACCGATGATCGCAGCCGCGTTCTTAATTTCTTATTTTTATCCATCTTGAATTTCAATTAACAAATTTGATTTGAAGCTAGTTTACATATATTCACTAAATTTCGACAATCTACTTTGTTTTCTCTTAATATTCTTAAATTTACCTTCTTAAGCTTTAAATTCCTTTGGCCTTATCTTCTTTGAACCTTTTCTTTTCTTGACCTTATCTTCTTTCTCTTTGACTTTATCTTCTTCGGCCTTTTCTTAAGTTATTTGCCGATTCTCTTCTAGAATCCGGCTCGAGGGACCAAATGTTGAGGAATCCTTTTCCTCAGCAGAAATATGGCCGTTTATTTAGAGGACTGTATAAACTCCAAACTACCCAAGATGACACCCCAATGGTGAATCCAACCTTTAGCCAAAGAGAGAAAGAAGCACGACCAATACTATTCACACACTTTTATTTTCAACCACACTATATATACACTAGAATACACACACGTGACCAGTCACTCCTGGTCAAATACAAACATTTACAGAGTAATATTAAAATAATAAAAATAAACTCTAACATAGAGGGTTAGGTTTTCTTTATCAAAAGGCTCGCTTAAGACAGATATTACTGTAAATAGCCGGCTGAGAATCACTTAAAATATGTCGGAATAATATGAATAATTTAGTAAGCTAGATATCTTCCTTATAGGCATTGCCAATAATTCTTCGAATCTGGAAGCTCTATAAGAGGAACCTTCCTCTATACAACTGTTGAACGACATTTAAAAATTATCCCGCATGTGTTTCTTTTGAACGAAAAATCTATATTTATTTTAAGTAGAAATAACGATTATTTCTAACCTTAGGAATGAAGTATGAAATGATGAATTGTGAAGAGTAATGATAAACGGAAATATAAAGTGTCCAGGGATGGGAAACGAACCCACAGTGTTCTACTTACCGAGCAGATGCCATGTCCACTAGGCTACCCTGGGCATTTTCCGTTTATCATTACTCATCACAAATCGTCATTTCAAACTTAATTTCTAAGTGAAAAAATAGTACAAATGTGACATTGTACTGGGATAAGGTGCATAAATTAAGAAAAAGGCATCTACTTATCGTGCAACTGAAAGTTTCTGATGGCTTGCGCCATATATCGGAATAAATATCAACTATTCTCGTTGATTTTTAATTATTCCAGAATTGGCCAAATACCCATTCTTGATTAATCAAGAAAAGCTAACCACGGACGCGTTTCGGGCTGTTGGCCCTCATCAGCGTGGTGCAAGCTGTACCTTGGCCAATTCTGGAATAATTAAAAATCAACGAGAATAGTTCATATTTATTCCGATAGATGGCGCAAGCCATCAGAAACCTTCAGTTGCACGATAAGGAGATGCCTTTTTCTTAATTTCTAAGGTTAGAAATAATCGTTATTTCTCCTTAAAATAAATTTCGATTTTTCGTTCAAAAGAAACACATGCGGGATAATTTTCAAATTTCGTTCTACAATCATAAGCCGCATTGTATTATAAATTACTTCTATTCAACTGTAAAATGGCCTTCCTTGTGAAATAAACTGGCCCAGCTGCTTAGAGAATTGATCATTGATGACCTAGACCGTTTAATGTTGTTTTCTCTCTTTTGAAATATAATAATAAAATGAAACTTCAAAACGGCGCTAAAACTTTTGAATTTCAAAATTACATATAGCTTTCTCATCATCAAAATAATATTGAGAATATTTAGATAAGAGTGACATCTAGTGGAAAAAAAAAATAAACTAAACGTTTATTTAAGAATACAAGGTAATAAGACCAAATCCAATAAATAAATAGTGTGTGACGTTTCGGTAACAGCATTGTTACCATCTTCAGACAAGTACTGTAATATGAAGATGGTAACAACGCTGTTACCGAAACGTCACACACTATTTATTTATTTGGATTTGGTGTTATTACCTTGTGTTTATAAACTATAATCCAAATTGTGCCTTATCAAATTTATTTAAGAATGTTCCATAATATTTGCCTAACCTTTTTTTTTACACATTTTGTATTGAGACTTCAAAATTTTCTCTTAATAATGGAGAATTCGAAATATAATAAAAAGTAAAGATTTTAAAACTGTTTCAAAGGTGTTTCTCTGTGTGTATAAAAGACTCTTTGTTAGCTAATTTATATGTTTATAAATATTGCTTTGATATTTGTACAGTAGGAAGTTGCTTCAGATAATCAATAGGGATAAACTGTTTCGATATTTCTTATTAAAGTGATGTTATTATATATATATAAATGAAAAGAAATTTTCTGCTTGATTTTGGTATGCAGTCGTGAAAAGATTATAATAAAATTAGTTATCAAAAATGGCTTTAATTGAGCTTATGGAATATATAAAAACATAATTTTGTAAAAGTACTGCTTGGCTTAAAGCGTAAGAATAAAAAAATGAGAAACTTATTTACATAATGTACAAAAGATTTGAGCCGGCCATCGGGAAACAACAACAACGAGTTTTTATATGGGGAAGTGTGACTTGACCTCTGGCAGTCAATTTAGCAGGGTATTTGTATCTATGAAATATAATTTTTTTTTTAATAATATATTATTTTAATATAACATATATATAGTCACACGTTGAAAAATTATATAGATAAACGTGTGTTAATGGCAAGGCAAATTCATTATGAAAAATCAATTTAACTTTATTTACATGTTCATTTACATGAGGGAAGGGAGATATTTAGTAATATATATCAGTAAAAATATTATTTGATATTCTGTGAATGAAAAATGAATACTCTGTAATTATTATTAACCTATTATTTCAAACCTACTGACAGCCAGCTGCTAGAATTGACTAATTGGTCGATAGGTGCCTAAGGGTGTTGGTGTCATAATAGGATAAAGTGTTAAATTTTATCCAATATATCATCTAAAAATTATTAATATGAACCTTGGGAGTAAGTAAAGTTGAATATATAAAATATATAGTTTTACCGTTCTTTCTTAGAACTCTTCAATCACTTGTAGCAATCATCAAAAGAACCACTTCGAAAATGTGATAAGAGTAAAAATGGGTTAAAATAAGAGTGGGAATTTAGTATCATAATATTCATTCATTATACTTCAAATTCGCACTATCCTTCAATTACTATAAGTATAAAGTATAAAAAAGGAATATAAACAGTAGCAATGCAATTAATAAACACATTTTGCTGCTGTTGTATTCTTATTTTATTCTGTAACAATGTTAATTCATTAGATAAACTTGCTAGAAAGGGATAGAAATGGATAATTGACAATTAACATACTTTATTGACATCTTGTCAATACAAAGTCAGAGTGGGATTTGAGATTCGAGACTTATTCAATACATTGTCCATATAAGATTATATAAGTTTTTTAATATAATATATATTTTTATTTTTGAAATTAAAGCAATCCATAAATATATCTTCAATTAAAAAGGCATATATTGGATCAAAAATATCATTTATTTTACCGAAACAACATGTTGACGTTATGTGGCGCTGAGTTTGTTGTTGACACACTTTAAAATGTTATAACACTTTGATAAAGGTTGGCGTTCAGCCAACTGAAATATTGGTAAAATAAATTATATTTTTGATCCAATATATGCCTTTTTAATTGAATATTTATTAATATATTTTGAAAATAGAGCAATCCATAAATAGATATACGATTAAAAAGTCATATATTGTATCAGAATATAATGTATTTTTTCAATATTTTAGTTGGCGGAACGCCAACCTTTTTCAAGGTATTATAACATGTTTATCCTTGAACCTTGATTACCTTGAAAAAGGTTGGCATTCAGCCAACTGAAATATTGGTATATGAATTATATAAATATTCCAAAAATATTCCAATATATGCCTTTTTAATTGAAGATATTTATATATAAGATTATCAAAATTCAAAACTATTATAGACGCGTATGATTCATTTTTAAAATAAAACAATTTTACCGTCCTTACTGCAATTGAAAAATTAATGGGAGGGCCATTGCAGTAAAGACAGTAGAAATTGTTTTATATTAAAAAAGAATCATACGCGTCTATAATAGTTTCGAATTTTAATAACAGATGGCGCGCTAATGCATCATAATATAAGATTAAAAAAGCATAGGGTGCCTCTCGCATCAAAATAAACGTTAAACCCAGACCCCATCTATTGACTGTCACCGCAAACTAGCAGTCGGGTCGGTAACAAAGCTACAATACCAGCTTTGGAAAACTGGCAAACTTATTTTGACCGGAGATACGCCCTATTCTTTTAAAGATCAATTTCTTTCAAGAAATATTTCCATATAAAAGATTTTGAAAATAGAGCAATCCATAAATAAATATTTAATTAAAAAGGCATATATTGGATCAAAATATCATTTATTTTACCAATATATGTATTTTTAATTAAAAGATATGGTTATAAATATTCAAATAAGAGAGATAGAGAGAGTTATATAGGTAGAATCTATTCCCTTACCAGCATCCATACGTATCCATGTGACTGATGGAGATGGGAAACCATCAGCTCGACATTTGAGGGCGGCTCTTGATCCCGACTCTGCCTCCAGGTCGCTTGGCTTCTCCAGCCAAGTTGGAGGGGCTGTAGACACCAGCATTGTGTCAATTCTCACCATTTTACATCAGCTGATGGGTAGTGAGGTTAGTTGCTGTATAGCCGACAACATTCATATTTGTCATTCAGATGATGTTAGGAAACAATCTTTGATATCACCATTGTTACAACAATTATCATATATTCTCCCTAGTATATATCAAATCTGACGATAATCAGAGAGACGTTGAAGAAAATATTACCTTCTAGCTAAAGTGTAATGGTATTTCCAAAATATACTGAAATACAAATATATGAATTAAGTTTTTATGAGGAATTTACATATAATACAAAATAGATCGTAGAACTATATTAAAAAAGATTGTCCCAAAAGTTCTTGTTTTTCTTAAAACGATTTTTTTCTTATTACTTGGCGAATATTATTACGACGAATACATAATAATAATACATAATAGAATTACTTTATACATAATACAACGACATTATATATAACAGGGAATAGTATTGGTATTTCAAATTTTTGCAAGTGTTAACGAACATTTGAGACAACCTTGTATATTATTTGCTTCCTTACAATCTATGATGGTACACATGGAGGACCTACATGAGTGATCTAAAACCTTTATATACCTATGGTACATCAATCCCAGAACTTAGCCATAGAAATACTACGGTACCTGACGTTAGATAACCACACAGATGGATATCTTGACCATGGAACAATATACGATCGCTATGGCTTGGCGAAAAAGTGTTTACTTTAGTTTAACATAATTCATGAGTTCGAAGTAAGCTGTTCTTCTACAAATACTTTGGTAGAGGAACGGTTCAGTTGAAAACATTTGTAAAATTATTATAGGACGAATTCGTGCGTGTTGGTGTGGCTTGTGGAAAGGCCGCTGATAAAATTATAATTATTTTTTATGAAATGAATTAAATTATATAAAGCCAGAAATATATAAAGAGAAAAGAAGTAACGGCCGTTGGAAGCAAGCCTTGTTGTTGACGACGCGCGTGGCCAGAGTGTCCCGGATTCCGCCCGCGCATGCGTAGTGAGGTCGCCACTCTACTACCCGTATGTGTAGTGAAGCTTTTCCCAGTTCGCGCTTGCTGAAGCAAAGTGTGGTCGCCACACCTTTATACACTATGTATACACTTTGCATTATTTCAGGGGTCGGCGACCTGCAGCTCTTTGGATGTGAGAAAATATGCTGCTCTTTATATAGTTCCATACGCAAATATTATTTGTGCGAGTACTATTTATTGTTGGCAATAAAAAAAATGTGTGGCTCGTTAAAAACTTTGATTGTAATTGTAAATTGTAATTCTTTGACTTTTACGGCTCAAAAAGGTTGACGATTCCTCACTATGTCATAGCATCATTGCTAC